ACTTGCTCCAACCCTTGGGGCAAATATGAATTTAACCCAAAACTCATTTCTGGGCCAAATTTAGCCCAGGATTACCCAGGTTAGCGGGGTTGGCCCACCATATATGTGTACCTCTTTTTTTTATATTTATAAAGTTATTGAATCCAACGGCTAAGATCTAATATGATCAAATCCAATGGTGAAAAAAAAAAAAAAAAAAAAAACCTATCGGTCCAAATTTAAATCCAACAGCTAAAGTAATTAAAAAGAAAATTTCTTTTACGTGTTTCATATTCTTTCATAATGTTTCACGAGTTTTATGGTGTTGGTTAGAGATTTTTCAATAATTTTCGGAATCTAAATATTTTTAGGTTAAAATGTTCATAAAATTAAGTTAGAATAGTCTACATAATTTTTTCTTTTAAAAAAGTTACTATAAGAAAAAATAAATTAGTCTAAATTCATTCTTTAATAATTTGGGGCTAAAATTTTAACCCAAAGGGTTGGAGCATAAAATCTATTTCTGGATCAAAACCTAAATTTTCTAGGCTAAAATTTTAGATTTTAACTCAAGCATTGGAGATGGTCTAAGAGACTATTTGGCTTCAAAAAAACAAAGTTGTACATAATGCAACCTGCACGTAAAAAAACTGTAAGAGCACAGGAAAGGGCATATGAGCTCCACACCCTACCTTGTACTTAAAAGGGATGCTAGACTTATGATTTTTAACCTTTCATGAGGACATGTCGGCATCAAACACCCTAATATCAAATCCTCATTTTTCTGAAAATCAGGACCATCCTTTTGAGTAGAGAAATTAGAGAATAATAAAAAAATAAAAAAAGCAGTTACAGGCAACATGTCAAGACCAAGAAAACTAGAGAATGTTAAAAAAAATTAAAATAAGCCGAAAATGAACAACAGAGGACAACACCGAGCAGTATATGAATAACCAACCACCAAGAAATCAGAAGATGCGGCACTGGCTTGATATCGGCAACTTGTTTTTGTTGCAATTCCGTCGTTGCGGGTTAGGCACAGGCAGATTCTTGATGTCAATGAGTTGAATTTTCCTTCTCTTGTTCTGATCCTCCTTATAACTTTGGTGGAGTTTGCGCTTACCGCACTCCATCCTCTCTTCATCATTCCAATCAGGTTTCTCCTTAGGGTTTTGTGTGGAAGAAGATGGAGGAGGAAAGTTTTGTGTGGAAGAAGAAAGAGGAGGAGGGTTTTGTGCAGATAGAGCGCGGAGAACGGTCTCCAAATCCTTGCCTTTACCATAGGATGGTAATGGGTTCTTCTTCCTCTGACGCAACAGACCGTCTTCTGGATGTGGCTTCCTTTGCTTGTTCTCATCAACAAGAGTTGCCACTGCTACACCATGCTCATTAAGGTCGATTTCGTCAAAGAAAGTGTGAGTGGACAAAAACAAAACTTTTCAAAATCATTTCATTATCAAAAGTTCTAACCCCTCACCGTAAAACCTGTATAGTTTCCCAGAAAATAGAATATACACATATATCGAAAACATGTTCAGAAATATGTCATGTCGAATGCCTCCACATAAACTGTAAGTAACCCAAGTAATGTCAACCAATGCAAGCAACATGTCAGCTGGAGTCACCTAACGTGACCTGTACGGCTAAATCTAGAGCTCAAATCCCCAACTCACTAACTATACCTGCACACGAGTCGAAACCACCTAAAGTGGTTTGTACGATAGGACTGGGTGTAAATAAATACGCTCAAGTCCTACGATCACGTGAAGACTGGGCGAATAATCGCGGGTCACCTACGAGTCGGAACCACCTATAGTGGTCTGTACGACAAGACTATGCGCCTAACTTGGATCCAAGATGAGTGTGTGGTGCGGGAGGTGAACATCACATGAAGGACTGTGCCCTACTCTGGGCGGGAGCACTAACACCGGGGGTGCAAGTTATGAGCTCTTTATGCATCTCACATAACCACTAATTCACAATCATAAACCATAAACTTACCTGGCACTTACCTGCGCGTCCGCAGCACTAAACATACATATATGCAACTACTAATGCATAAATAAATAGGCAAACGCTATGCATGGCATTTAAAACATATAAACATTCCATTTCATTTTCTAGGAAAAACCACAAGTATATAAGTATATACGAAAAACCAAAAGCCCACTCACTGATATGTGGAAGGGTCATAACCCCCTTGTCTTGCATGACTGCGCTTGTCCTCAGGATGGGTCTCACCTATATGCGAAACAACTACAAAAGCGTCAATTTAAAGCACATAACCAAAACTAGGTAATAACTTCTCATACAATGCTCAAATGGGGTGTGTGAATACACCAACGTGATCTACTAAACCTCACAAACATCCCTCCACGTGCCGCCATGTGCCGACAAGGGCACAGCCCTACGCACCCCCACGCGCGGCCAAAACTGACGGATTCCCTAACCGCCGTTAGGGAATATTCCGTGAAAACTAACAGATTCCGTTAAAACTAACTTGACGCCGTTAAGAATATTCCGTTAACTTAACAAAATATTCCCTTGTCTTCTCCGACACTCCTCCGGTACCATCGTCGTCGCTAGAAAACTGGAAAATTTTCAAATCTTAATATCTCACTCGTTTTTTCACCAAATTTCATGAAACCAGTACCAAATTGAAGCTCTTAACTTGTAGAACATTTCCTTACCTGTTTAAAGCCCCAAAGATCACAAGATGTCGTCGGAGAAATTCAAGAAAAATCGGCCAAACTCGCAACTCACGATCCCGATGTCCAATTCCACTCAACGAACCACCTTGAGCTTCCTAAGGACCTCACTAAGCTTCCTAAAAGCTTCAAATTCCCTGAAAGTCAATAATTCACGTGTGCATGAACAGTGACCAAATCGTAGATTCCTGGTTCGAAGTGAAATCGAAGGATTCCTTACCTAAAATTAGTATGGTTGAACTCGTATGATCCTCACGAACACCAAGGTACCATTTTCCACTTAGATCCGTCACGTTTGCAAGGGTTTTGAGTCCCGTCCGTACAAGTGAGAAGGGGAGAGAGAGAGAGTTCGAGACAGAAAGAGACACGAGAGAAGATGATGTGGGTATGGGTGTGTGTGGTCCAGGTGCAACCAACAAAACAACAAAACAATCACCCCAAAATGACAAATACCCACCAAGGACAAAATCGTTATTTCACACCTACGGTACAAATATATCTAATTTTCAACTTGTAAAAATAAACGATGAAATGGGTACGATTAAATGGATAACGATTATGGTTACCCATTTATAAACAGTTATGGTTATGGGTATATTCGTTTAGAAAATTACCTAGCAGGTATTGATCTAAATTGTTATAGGTAAATAACAATGGTTATCGGCCCGCCATAACCGTCGAATTCAAATTTAGTGGTCCGGATTACCTAGCCCTTAAGCTTCGTACAATTAGATCCAGAGTGATTTTTTGTCCTTTTAAGGGTAGTATGACGGCCACAAGTATAGGTTTTCATAGGAGAGCCATGACGAAGCAACAAAGGAGTGAGAAATAATCAAGTGTTTGAGGATATATGCATACAAGAATGACTGAAAATTTTTACAAGTGATTTTACCACTTTAATTTAGCGTTTTTATCAACACGCAACTAGACCTCGACGAATTTGGATCTTCTCCGGATCCTCTTTGTGAGGATCCTAAGAATTCGTGAATCATATCTGTTCATCATACATTGTGTGATGAGAAATCATTTTAAATATTTTTATTTAAAATTACATACAAACAGTACCTGACAAAAATTGACCGCACGATGTACGATGAACAAACATGATTTACGAATCTCCAAGATTTGCACCAAAATGTTCTAGAGAGAATCCTGTTGGGACCTAGACTTCTCATAAAAGGCAAGTGTCGATAAAGCAGACGCATGAGAACGTTGGGTACAAAAACGTTGTTTAATTGAGCTTAAGCACTTTTCCTTGCCCCACCGCATAATTGTACCATCAAATTAAAATGATAGAACTTGGCTGTTGAACAGATCAGCAACAGCTGCTGCTTACGACCAATCAAGGCAGGACATATGTCCAAGTTTGATTAAAACATCAAAACTTGGACACCTATCCAGCTGTGATTGGTGCTGCTGATCTTTCAGCAACCAAGTCCAGTTCAAATTAAAATCAGTTCCCACTTACCTTGCAGTATTACAATCACATTCTTTGTTCATAGGATCAAAAGTACTGGGATCAATCAAAAGTTCAATTCTATCAAAACTATTCATTTTCAAATGACATCTACATCGTTCACAATCATCCGTTTTTTTATTTTAAAAATTTCTTATAATTTAACAAATTTCGCATCAAGTTCACAATCACAAATGTCTGTATTTTTTAGTTATATTTAAATTATTAGAACTTATATTAAAGAATCAAACAAAAAATTCTGTCTTTATCACAAATCGAATCAATATTCGAGACCTTAAATTTCATTTATCATCAATCCAATCACTGTTCACGCTACTTCTTTTTCTTATCAATGAGTAGATCGATTTGATCCGTATACTCCTTTTCTTAAAAAATGAAAAAGAAAAAGGGGAAGGGATCTTCTTTGGTGGATCTCTCTTGTTCCTGTTTAGTCCCTTTCCTTTCGTTTCGGAAGTTGTTTCGACTTCGACATCTATTTCTTCCTCACCTTCCTCCATTTCTTCCACTTTTGAGGTTTCTTTTAGTTTCTTATTAACAATGGACAACGGCATTCTGCCTAAACAGTAGACACATGTAATAAATAAGAATGTAGCCGTATGAAAACAAGCTGTGAATTATCAGTCTCTGCCATTTAACCATGATCAAAATGTACACCAAATAAATCCGAATCTACTCAAACCTTCACAAGAGGATGACGCTAAACAAGCATTTTTCAGAAAACCCGATCGAGCTTGTCGCTGGGATCTAAATACTTCTTATATATCTTCTGCACAGATTGTGTTAGGCAACCGTAACATAGTTTCAATAAGTTCTTACAACCATGGAAATACGAAGAATGACAGAACTTGTTTCCGAATAAAATACAATAAAAAGAACATAATACAGATTAGCGTTGCACATGATCAGGTTCATGTAAAGATCACATTCAACAAACCCAAAAAACAATAATCCAATTCATTTTAAGCCGGCACAGCCACTAAATTACACACATTCTTACGGCCAAAAGAAAAGGAAAAATCACTGGGAAGGCAATGCAAGATCATGCCAACCATCCGCATCAACTTGTTGAGTCTCTTGATCTGATCAATGGACAAAAAATGGGAAAAGGGAAATCAGCACAAATAGTGTTTTTCCACAAGAAAGCGTAAACACAAAATAGTCCAAACAACTACAGTGACTGAGCTCCAAAAAGCAGAGAAATAACTGCCCTAATAGTTACTAAACAATTTACAAAATCCTCACTCGTTAATTTGTTGAAAATCCAAGGCTTTGACTGCATGCAAGTCTAAAGTGTTAAGAAAAAGATGATACTATGCTTCCTCAAACGGTACGGAATCATCAAGAGAATACGTGTTAAAGAGTAGGGAACACGGCAGCAACAGAAGGAACAAATGTATGCTAAAAACATGTGCCTACGTAACATGATTTACCAGATAATTGAAGGGACTTGATGGCAAGTTCACAAAATGCAACATTGTGAAAGTTCAAGGGGCATCAAACCATAATTTTCTTTTTCAGTGAAAAAGTTACACAGGTGGTTTAGAAAATTTTGTAAGAATAAAAAGACGTACTGGAATCCTCAGTGTCATCAGTCCGTACAACAAGCACTGGTGGTAGGGGAAGCTCTGCAAACAATAAAGACTATTTATCAATTGAACTACAAGAAATAAAATGATAATTACTTCTTCAATGTATGCATTTTTAGGTACATATCAAAGGGGGAGGCAAAGACTACCATCATCAGGAAGAGTGCTTCTCATCCATTCTTCATCCACAATATCTATTAGTATACCTGGGTTTAAGTCAGCCATGTTTGCTTTATACCCAAGGCAAAATCCGATCCGGAATTTTTTTCAGTTCAAACTATTACTAATTATCTACAAAAGAACAACATGAACTAACACATTAATAAGGACACATGCATTCATATTGGGTAGGACAAATCAATCAGAACCAATGTATTAAACTACAGAGAAAAAAGAACTCTGCCATAACATGCTTATTACGTGAGCAATCTCTAGGACCCAAGATAGTATCTCTAATAAACTCAAGCTAATGACATCTACCCAAAAACATCAAATGAACTAAAGAGTAAAGAGTAGCATAACATTTCAACATAAAACGACCACACCCAAAAACAGTGATCATATTAAGTAAGTCCTGTTAAGCTGAACTAAAGTTTCTGAACTCTTACGTTTATTTAACTATTTACTTATTATGGTCTCTTCATGGCAATCGAAATGTAATATTCACATTAAGGAGCTTGGCCTCACTTCCAACCTTCATACATGATAAGGAGTAAATACCGAGGAAAGAAAAATGAAGCAGTATGTCAAGGGTCCCCAAAAAGAATATAAACAAGTATTTTCTCAATAATCCCTATATTTAATCTACGTATTGTTCCATAATACTTTACAAAGGAAGTTTGCAAGTCCTCAAGCCTTTTCTTGTATCCCTTCCCCTATAACTCTAGCCCCTTCGTAACCCTTTCCCTTCAACTCTAGCCCCTTCGTAACCCTTTCCCTTCAACTCTAGCCCCTTTGTACTTTGGCACAAATCATTCAAATGCTATAACTTTCATATACAATTAATTCAACAGCCAATAGTATCGTGCAGTTTTTCCACTAGGAGCCGGTTATCCAGCAGAAAGATAAAGAAACAAGACCAAAAGATAAAGAAATTACTCGTAAGTAAAAGACGAATGAGTTGTTCAAAGTTCGTATTGACAGTGGAGTCCTAATGAGTTATTCACCGAACATTTTCTATACATATTGCTTGCTAACTCGTATGCGTTTTCTTTTGTCAGACTTACAAATCTGCTGAGAAGACGAACATTTTCCTACTTTACCGAACAACACTATCGCATCATGTTTTCGAAAACCCCAAAAAAATCCGATTCGAATTAAAATCTCGAATTTGTTAGAACCCAGATCATATATCAGATTTACATATCAAATTCGAAGCCAGATCACATTTCAGATTTACCATCACAGAAAAGCCCAAATCGCAAAATTATATAGCAGAATCCAAAAACTAAAATGGACGCTACAAGTACCTGACTAGCATAGAAATCTCGCAAGCTCAGCTCGCCGGTTGGTTCTAGGGTTCTGCCGACAGACGATGGCTTCGTGAGAGACCAAATGGATTGGGGGGTTTATGACTAAATTGTTGCGAGTTATACATTTATTAATGAGTTAATTTATTACCGTGAAGTTTTTTTGGTTTTCAACATTTGATGAATAAGTTTTTTTCGTTTCAAAGTGGTATCTTGAAGTCCTGTTTAAAATGCAACGTGGTGCGCCACGTGGATAGTGACTTGGAGGCCCACGTAGATATTCAAAAATTATAAAATGTTAGAGAAAATTTTAAAATTTAAAAAACCTAAACAGTTAAAAGTTATAAGCCCAAAAGGAGATAGGATCCCCTCCGCATCCTCCAGATCCTTCTTTACTATCAGAGTTGGCATCCTAACTTCATCGGAGTTGGCGTGGTGGCTTCGCTGGAGCTACTAACCGGCAACGTCGTAGTCGTCTTGAACGACGAACTCCACTTGTCATTTTGAAAAATAGGGTGCGTAGAAGTTCCCAATAAACAAGCAGAAAAAATGAAGAAGAAGATTGCAGAACAAGAGGAACCAGAAGCAAAACTGTAGAGATGAAAGAAGAAGAAGAAGGATTTGGATGTGTGGGATCTGGAGAGGATCCTATCCCGCCTAAAAGAAAAACCACTTTCTACCAGGACCCCACACCCCAAGAAACCATAAACCAAGAGATTCCTTCAAAACCCTATTAGATCCATGTCGTATGCAATTGCACTTGCTCATCGTCGCTCTAGCTTGCCATCGGCCTAACTCTCTATCCTTCGCATGCTGTCACACAGTTGGCACCTCGAAGAAGGGTGTGTTATTTATGGAAAAACAATATGGCCCTCAAGCCATCAGAGGCGATGGGGTGGCAAAAACAAAAGATAGAAGTTGTTGAAACACTATGATATTGTAAGAATCCTACCTTTTTGAATTTGATCAGGGTTTTAGGTTTTGCGAATTTTCAATTTTGATTTTTTAGGGATTTTTATGGATTTATGGCTTTTCCATTTCAATTATCTTTTCTGTAGCTTTTTGGAATTGTGTTTTGTAGTGGGTGTCTTCATTGTTTAGTGTTTTCAATGTGCATGTGGTCTGTGTCTCCATTAATGGTCCCAATTGCAGTGCTTTAAAAAAACCCATTTATTGATAGTCCCAATGGTTTGGTTGTCTGTTTTTGTCTTCATCAAACTTATAAAAGCCTTATGGTGGTACATGTTTGGTTGCCTGCTTTCAAAACCTTGTGGTGCTACATGTTTGTGTTTTAAAACCCTTAGTATTAACTTTGTAGGCATGCCAGATTTGTTTACCCTTAAGATTAACCATGGTGGGAAATGGTCTGAAGATGCATATACAGGAGAGTTTAAGGCTTGGTTTGATTATGCAGACAAAGACTTTATGCCTTTTTTGAGATTGATGAGACGGTTACGCAGTTAAGGTGTGATGGATTCATTTTGTATCAATATAGGATTCATAGGATGTCTTATAAGGGGTGATTAAGGTTTGATAGAACGTGACCAACATGTGGATAATATGTGCAACTATGTTCTAGGGACTAGGAAAATAGAATTGTAACCTAGAACAATGAAGTGCAAAGCAAGTTGCCCTTAAACATAAGCTTTTGACAAATCTAGATGAGAGTGGCATGGTTAAAAGGGAGATAACTATAGAAGATTTTGAGGAATCGAGAGTTGCACTATCTATTACAAAGGGTAATGGATCAAAATTGAAGAAGACTAGAGCAAAAGGCGATGTTGATCACTTAGAAAAATGTCTATGCATTTTGTAAGACATAGCTTACCATGTTGATTTAGAAGATAATGGATATGAGAGTGATGGTAGTGTGGGTATTTGGAGGAGTGACACTGAGGGATGACAATAAAGTGGAAATGGTACTGTGAAAGGCCTCTCAATGGTGCTGATTAAGGAGTGGAAATGGTACTAAAAAAGAGACTGAAAATGTTGCAACTGAATGTGTGAAGATGTTGCTGTTGAAGGTATATTGGAAACATTTATTTTTGCAATTTTACTAAAAGTATTCAATTGTTATGTATTGAAAACATTTTTTAACTAATATGTATTATATGTGGCAGGTAATGCAGATGAGGACACTACTGATAATGTATTTGTGGAAAGTGGCTATACTTTAGATGGTGATGATGTGGCTACCAAATTCAACCCAAACTCCCCCATCCCACCCCACCTCCACCTCCCTCGCAACCCCTTCTCCCCCACACCTCCCCTCCCATCCAAAAAACCCACCCATCCCACCCCACTCACACCTCCCTTGCAACCCCCTGAACCCACCCTTACCTCCCCTGTAAACCCCCAACCCCACCCCCACCTCCACACTTCCACCGTGGCTTCTTCACCTTATATCATGGGTATGGGTCACAAATTCAAGATCTAAACAAAGTTTGGATCTTTATAAAGAATTTGGGTTGGTAAAAAAAAAAAAAAAAAACAAGTTTAAAAAAATGGGAAGGAAATGGAGGAAAACCAAGCTTGCTCTTGGGTTGAATTCATGTCTCTATGTTCCTCAAACTAGAAAGGAACAGCCACCCTCATCGAATGACGTTGCCGCATCTAGATTCTCCAACCCCGCAACCCCCCACTTCCATTCCTCAATCCCTAATCCCCACTCCCAGCCGACCCCAACCTGTAACCCACAAACCACAGCTTTTACCTAAACCCGCATCCCACAAATTTCTTGAATCTTACCTATCGAGACAGCTTGGATGGATGTCATTATGAATTGTGGGGGTGGGGGGGGGTGTTGCAGGGGAGGTGGGGATGGGGTGGTATGGAGTAGGTTTTTTGGATGGGAGGGGAGTTGAAGAGAGTGAAGGAGAAGGAGAAGGTGGGTCGGACATGGTTTAGGTTACAGGGAAGGGAAAGGATTTCTGGGAGTGTATTATTATTATTTTTTTAGGGTAAATTATTATAATATTTTAAATGCATAAAAAAATATTATTTTTTACCACATGGCACAAATGTGGCAGCCACATTAGCTCTTAACTGACCAATGAATGGAAAATGTAAGAGATGTATTATATTGAAATAAAATAGTACTTGAGATATGAAAGTAAGATTTTTTGAAGATATTGTATGAAGTTGCAATAAACCTCAAACCTGAGATGGTAAAATGTAATTTACCATTTTTAAAGGTTGAGACCAATTTAAGATTACTCTTAAAGATTAAATGATTCCAAAAATTAAATAAAATTACATTAGGAAGGGCAAAACAGTAAAGTAGCCACGATCGGGAAGCAAATTTGTCACATACCGACCCGGGCTCCACCACATCCCGGGCTCGACTCCGCTGTAACATGATATTTTCTGCTATAAGCCCTGGCCAGGCCCTCACGGTTTTGTTTCTGGGAACTCACACGAGAACTTCCCAGCGGGTCATCCATCTTGGGAATGCTCTCGCCCGAACTCGCTTAACTTCAGAGTTCCGATGAACGCCGAAGCCAGTGAGCTCCCAAAAGGCCTCGTGCTATATGGAGGTAGGCATGTACATATAAGGCACATCACCCGCTCTCCGTTGGTCGATGTGGGATGTTACAATCCACCCCCCTTAGGGGCCCGACATCCTCTTCAGCACATTCGCACCACACGGCAGAGTGGCTCTGATACCATCAAAAGTTGTCACATCCCGACCCAGACTCCACCACATCCCTGGCTTAACTCTACCGTAGCACGATGTTGTCCACTTTGGGCTCCGACCACGCCCTAACAATTTTGTTTCTGGGAACACACACGAGAATTTCCCAGTAGGTCACCTATCCTAGGATTGCTCTTGCGTGAACTTGCTTAACTTCGAAGTTCCGATGAACTCCGAAGCCAGTGAGCTCCCAAAAGGAGTCGTGCTATATGAAGGTGGGCATGTACATATAAGGCACATTACCCCCTCTCCGTTGGTCGATGTGGGATGTTACAAGATTGGCGCTCATATTGCGCGGTACCAAGTTTGAAAATCAAATTAGATGTTATCGTTGCAAAAGCAAAACAAATAACGCATTTGGAAATCTCTTTCTCTCGCTTTTAGAGCAGTTCCACTGTGGGAAAGGCTCCCTTGCTATTCACTATTTAATCCACCCAATGAACAGTAAATGCCCTTAGTGAACAGTAACTGCCTTTTGCATCTCCACCCCTACATTGAATAGCCCTAGCAATAGGCAATAAAATATTAGTATTTTATTTATTTATAAAATAATACAAAATAATTTAATTTGTAATTTTGGATAAGATTTTTAATCGTTCTCGTTGCACCACGTGTCATTATCCGAAAAGACAATTATTGGTGATGGATTTCGATAAGATTTTTATCAAAGTAGCTAATAAATAAATAATACAAACAAATAATTATAATGTAAATTTGGGTATAGTACAAACAAATAAATAATATATTGTTACCTGATTCGCTAAATTTTCTCCACTTCGAAGATTACTACTAGCTTGTGCCAATGCGTCTCTCCATGTACTAAACGATTATGCCAGTAGTTTCCAATGACTGGACATCGATTCTTTGGTTCTTTTCCCACCAATTTTCTCAAGATAATTGGTATGAATAAGACTCCACATTTCTCGCAACTACATCTCATTACTTATAATCGGATCATGAGTAAATTCAACTCAGATAGTACACAACGCAGCATCTTCAAGAGCATCCAATTCGTACCTGCAACACTAGTCATTTTGTTGGAAAAAAAATTGGACTAAAACTTTGAGAGAAACATAGGAATTTGGTTGAAAGTAGTTGAGAAAATGTGAAACTGTAGTGTAAGGTAGAAGATAATGAGAAGGTATTTATAAAAAAGTAAAATCAATTTTTTTTTTAATTTTCCAAAATTTTTTTTTTGGATTTTTATTAATTTTTTTACATTTTTATTCACATAATTAATCTCTGTTGTTGGATTAAAAAAAATTTGAATTCCAACACTCCAGATTGTGCCATGTGGCACAACGGTAAGATTTCTGATTTTTAAACTGTTTTTTTTTTTTTTAAATTTATAAAGGTGAATAACGTGGACTGTTGATCTCAGATCCAACGGTTGAAATTAAATAAGGTTTTAAAATTATTATTACCGTTGGAAATAATAACCGCTGAGATCCAATGGACG